TGGATTTGGTTCAAAATTAATTTCTTGGATAAAGCTCCTTTATGCCACCCCCAAAGCATCTGTACGCTCAAACAATATTATTTCAGATCCTTTTCCACTAGGTCGGGGCACAAGGCAGGGTTGTCCCCTTTCCCCTCTTCTATTTGCTATTGCTATTGAACCCCTTGCAATTGCATTACGTGCTGACTCAGAGGTGCAGGGCATTTTTCGTGGTGGTCTAGAACAGAAGGTTTCTTTATATGCTGACGATCTTATTTTATTTTTATCCAATCCTCTAGTCTCAATTCCTCGAGTTCTTTTAATATTGGGCTCATTTAGTACCTTTTCAGGTTATAAATTGAATTTTTCCAAGAGCGAATTATTCCCAGTGAATTCTGCTGCATTAAGTCTCTCATATTCAAATTTCCAATTCAGAGTTGTTAATAACCAATTTAGGTACTTGGGTATCCAAGTGACACGTAAACATGCTGACTTATTTAAAACCAATTTTAGTCCTTTATTTGATCTCACAAAATCTATGTTTTTATCATGGAAACCCCTTCCTCTGTCACTGATAGGAAGGGTAAATGCAGTTAAAATGAGCATTCTTCCCAAATTTTTATATTTATTTCAATGCTTGCCCATATTTATTCCTAAGTCATTTTTCTCCGGTCTGGAAAAGACTATCTCGTCATTTATTTGGATTAACAAGCCAAGGCGAATAAGTCTAAAGCATCTTGGTAAGCCAAAAGAGGTGGGAGGTCTGGCTTTGCCTAACTTTCAAACGTATTACTGTGCAGCCAACTTTAGAAACTTATTGTACTGGTGCCGGTATGATTTACAACTGTGTAAACCTCTTTGGGTGCAAATAGAGGCTGGAATGAGGCTAATAGAGGCTATGTTGTTCCTCAGTCACGCTGACATCTTTGCTCTGTTCTTCTATCCCTCCAACTCATAGTATCTCGATTAAGAATCCAATTGTTAAACACTCTCTGAGGATTTGGACTCAGTTCCGCAGAGCTCTAGAGCTTAAGGGTCTTTCTTCAGCTGCACCCATTGCCAGTAACGCTTCCTTTCCGCCCTCTCTTTTTGATGGGGCTTTCAATATTTGGAAGTCACAGGGTCTAGTTACAATTGATCAGCTATTTATAGATAACAATTTTGCTTCATTTGACCAACTTAAAAATAAATTTTCTTTGTCCAATTCCCATTTATTCCGGTATTTTCAAGTTCGGAGCTTGGCCCGTAAACATTTTCTGGAGTTCCCCTCTGCCCCTCCTAGTGGTGTCTTGGAGTGTATTTTAGATCAACATAAATGTATAAGGGGTGCCATTTCAAAGATTTACAGTATAATAAATGACAAACAAACCCCATCTAGCGGATCATTAAAATCTCTCTGGGAGCAGGACTTAAGTATTTTGTTAGAAGATGAAACCTGGGACACTATCTTAAAAAGGATACATTCTTCTTCAGTTAGCTCTAGGCATAGGCTTATTCAATTTAAGGTAGTGCATCGTATTCATTGGTCTAGGGTGCAATTCGGCAAGATATTTCCTGATTTAGACCCCACCTGCCCACGCTGTGTTGTGGAGCCAGCCTCTCTGTTTCATTCTTTTTGGTCCTGTCCTAAGTTATTAAGGTTTTAGGGGGGGAATTTTTAGTTGTCTCTCAGAAATTCTTACCACAGTAATAGACCCCAACCCATTGACAGCTTTATTTGGGGTTCTTCCGGAAAATGTTAATCTTACATCTTTAGAAATGGATAATATTGCACTTTGCACATTGTTGGCTAGACGGCTTATACTAATTAATTGGAAGCTGCCATCTCCTCCAACCTATCGTCAGAGGGTTTTCGACCTACTTTTTGCCCTCAAACTTGAAAAGATAAAATTTGCAGTTAGAATGAAACCCGATCTTTTCTTGAAATCTTGTTGCCCATTTTTAGATTATTTTAAGGAGATGAGCTCTGGATAAACCCTTTTTTTTATTTTTCTCTTTTATTCCCCTCTGGTTTATTTAGTTGTTTATATGTATGCATAGTTAATTCGCTCCGTGCCAGGAGGCACACAAGGCTTGGACATCACTCCTCCATTGGGTTCGGTTTGCAGCTGCACGTCGTGCTGTGTTCCACGTGTTCCAGCCTGCACCGTTTCGTTCCAGTTCCACCATTCGCCGCCAAGTTGTTTTTGGGCGGCATCTTTTCCTTCTTCCTTCAGGTGTCCACCCGAGGGCCACAGCACAGTCGTCCGTTCTGTCCTTCCTCAGCACATGGCCGATCCATTTCCATCTCCGTCTCCTCACCTCCTCACTGATTTTCTTTGTTTCTGCCATCTCTAGAACGGACTTGTTGGAGACGTGTTGCTGCCATCGAATCTTGAAAAGCTTCCGTAAGCATTTGGTCTGGAATATGTCTAGCTTCTTCTCCTCTCCTTTGGTTAGTTTGTATGCATATGTTACTGTGATTATATGTTCATCCGCATTTGAGCATTTATTATGTTTGTTTAGTTATTTATTTATTTATTTTCCCCTTTATTTAATTATGTAACAATCTGATCCTTGTACTGTGCTTGAGATGCTTTTCTTAATAAAAAAATAAAAAAATGCCACTGCCAAAAAACATTATTTGGACAAACTGTCCGCGATAAACAACATTGATCCAGATGATTTAGTTTTGGTGCTCGTTTTAGTAGCCTAGGCTAAGTTGATTACCATTGTACATAATGTTCTAGCTATTTGACCTGAGAAGCAGCTCTCTTAGTTAATGTTAGCTTGCTATTTTCAGCATATGTTAAGTTTTCATAGGTTGTGCAAAAAATAAATAAATTGTTGTTGTACATTACTTTATAATGCCACAAGATGGGGTAACTTGTTAAATACAACTGTGCCTTATTGTCATCAGTTAATGTTGACATGTAAAAATGAGGGTATTTGGTAGTTTATTTTAAAATAATTTGATGTATCTTTGCCCATCCCAGTTTATGTGTACTTAAAGGTTTGTGGATGCAATCAGTACAGAAACAGATAAAAGTCACTTAATGTATCTATTAAGCAGTTATATATAAACTTGATTCACAAACATTTTAAAAAGGCATGTAAAAAGATGTACAGAATATCAAAGCAAATTGTTCATTGTAAGCAAAAAAATATATAATTTGATTCATGCAATGTGGCCTGGCTTTATCATCTGCTAACATGAACCACAAATTCAACATCATTCATCAACTATCCTACTAACTTAGACATCAAGGAATATACAATACACAACCTCTTGCTTTGTACAACTTTTAACAAACGTAGTAGTGGAGGACAGTAACTAAGTAAAGTTTTTCCTCCTGATTGCGGCAACCCATGCGATCCGGCGTCTTCTCGTCAGCTCCTCGACCTGCTTCCCTTGTTGTTTTTTCCAAGAAGGAAAGCTGAAAAAAACGTATTCCATTGTTCAGTTTCCTCTCTGGACGATCGTGTGACCTGCTATGGCAGTTCTTGATCGAGCAGCACCGACATTTATTAAAATCTCGACAGGAAATACAAACACAGCCTCCGACACACAAATTCAAATATAGCGGGGCAGAGTGCGATCCTGTAAATATTGCGGCGGACCCATAATGCAACACGGCGTGACATCACCTTCACATTCCCTATAGCTACACTTGAAATATCAGATGACTCTGACCAAAATAAAACAAATATTCATCAAAACACATGCATGAATGCATTGAATTCTACTTAAATATTATACAAGTGTATATCAACGGCGATTAAACTTAATGAAAATTTATTTGTAGGATTACTCACCATACTGTGGAAATTGCGTATCCGCAACAGTCTTCCGACAGCAAAACAAGATGGCGGACGAACAGAAAATTCTCGACCCAAGCTCGATGACGTCAGTAGTCATGTGGTTTGGACGTGGACGTAAAATTGTAATTTGATTTAAAGCAATTAGTTTAAATTACACCCAAACTATTTTTTTTAACTTCAAGACAACTAAACTCAATTACATTAGACCAAAGACAAGCCAGAAAAGTGAATTTATTGAGTCAGATCAAGTATAAAAAGTTCTTTAAATTAATGACAAGCCATTTTCACTTTTTTCAGTTTTCTTGTGCATCAACAGAAAGGTTTTTGTGTATTTATTTTAGAGACTGTTTTGTCAGTAAATGTAGAGGGTTTCAATTTGAATTTGTGTTGATTGTAACTAGGTTATTAAGAGTTAATAAAATATATGTTTTTATTCAAATTTGAAATATAATAATTGCAACTTTATCATACTTTTTTTAAATTACAAATGTATTTAATTATATAACAATGTACACTACATGTATATTACATTAAAGTATATTTTAGTTCACATTAATTGCTTTTCAGTATATTTGGAAGGACACTTTTACCATATTTCAAAGTCCATACAAAAATGTATTAAAGTCCCACTTAAGTTGTTCCAAAAATATCACTCTTAATTTCAACTAATTGCATTTAATTTGAACTTAATCTGAGACACATTTGAAATCAATTATATATAATAGGCAATAAGTCTGTCGAAAACATTACACTTAATTCACACTTAAGTGTATTGTTAACTGACATTAACATATAGTTAAAGTGCACTGTTGAATGTACTGACAAGCAATTAATGTGAACTAAAATATAATTTAAAGACACTAGAAACCATTATGAAACTATATTATGAAAGTTATGCACTATTTTTTTTCCAAAAGGGTATGCTAAAGAAGAAAGAAGCTGGGTCAAAACCAACTGATTTAAATAACGCTGTCAGTAGGCTAATATGGCACTTTTTGTTGGTTTGTCTCTATGCTGCGGAAACTCTTAAATGATCTGTTGGCACCAAAGAGGACGCATGTGTTTCTGGCATCTTGGTTATAAAAGTAACATACAGTACGTGCTTTATTATTCTAATCTACCAGTAGTCATCATTATGAACAACTAATGCACAATTTTCAATTCCAAATATGGGCTGGAAATGTAACTAGATCCGCCCCTCTGACCCGTTACGTCCTCTGGAATAAGAAAAACGCACAGTTCGAGGACAACTCCCAGCCTGGAAACTTCGGGACGAGCAGGAAAAAGAATACCAGACATATTTCTCAGATACTTTCATCGGGAAGTCATATCAATTTGAAACTTTTTTCTTCCTTTTATTTACACTGATGGACGATTTAGGTATGTAATGTCTAATTATTTTATGATAGCCTACGTTTCCTAAACTTCCTTTGAATACATCACTGCAGTAAACCATTATAGTAGCCTAAATGGAAATGCAAGATTGGGACAGGGTGGAAGGCTTAGAACGGGGCGTCGTTTCTTTTTCGTAGCGGTTTCTAAAAGCACACTGATGAGCTCTAGATAAAGATGAGCTAGATGGACACGTATTCATACTTTTGAGCTGCAGTCCGAAAACAGACACGTACATCTACATCTGTCCGACAGAATTGTATGAAAGGTATGTTCACATTGATACATCAGTTCTTCTCGGCAGTTATCAAGGGTAACATATGTTTAATTCGTCCTGAGAGTCGGCATCTTAGTCACAGTACATCCCACATCTGGTAACGTTTAAGGACTATAAAAAAAACTTGGATCCTATGAAGAAACACCCGCCCTTTCACCCGCCACCACATAGGTTTTATTTGGATAATTCTTCCTGAAGATGAGGACATTTATTTGTCTCGTTTTAGTTTTTAGTTTGTTTTAGTAACATTTTTATAGAAATTCTCATCTGTGCAAATTTGGATGTAAACATGCACTAGACAAAAATGGGTAACACTTTACTTGAAGGGGTGTACATAAGACTGACATGACACCTTCTTAACCATGACATGACATATGTCATGAATATGAAGTAGGGTTTATGCATGATTATGACAACTGTCATTAAGTGTCTTTCGCTCAATAATGACATTTTGAATGCAAATATGACATTGTTTAAGATGTCTTTGTTATGACACCTTGACATAAACCATAACATCATAACCTGTCAGTGTCTTTGTCATGACAACTTGACATTAAATTAAGTTAAACTGTCATGTGGTTGGTTTTGACATTGGCTGTCATAAGGCCATTATAACTGTGTCATGAATATTTTTCGTGACCTCAACTACAGTGGTACAAATTGAATTTGTCATTAAATAGTTATAATGGCTTCATGACAGCCAATGTCAAAACCAACCACCTGACAGTTTAATGTAATGTTAACCAATAAAGCTAAGTGGTTTCTTAAGTTTGATAATTAATCTGCTATGTCATGTTTATGACAGGTTGTGTTGTTTTAGTAATGTCAAGTTGTCATGACAAAGACACTGACAGGTTATGATGTATTGGTTTATGTCAAGGTGTCATAACAAAGACATCTCAAACAATGTCATATTTGCATTAAAAATCTCATAATTGAGCGAATGACACTTAATGACAGTTGTCACAAACATGCATAAAACTTCCTTCATATTCATAACATGTGTCATGTCATGATTATGAAGGTGTCATGTTAGTCTTATGCACACCCCTTCAAGTAAAGTGTTACCCAAAAATGTAACAAGCAATTAAGTATCATGGTACATAAACATTTCAATAATTCAACTGGTATAGCCTAGTATAGTATATGGATCGGTAAGATTTTTTAATGTTTTTTTTTTTTTAAATAAGTCTCATATGCTCACCAAAGATGCATTTATTTGATCAAAAATACAGTAATATTGTGAATTATTATTATTTAAAATAACTGTTTTCTATTTTAATATATTTAAAAATGTATTCCTGTGATGACAAAGCTGAATTTTCAGCATAATTACTTCAGTCTTCGGATTTAAATCCTTCAGAAGTCATTTTAACATGCTGATTTGCAGCTCAAGAAACCTTTCATATTATTATCAATGTTGATAATATTTTAGTAAAAACAGTGATAATTTTTTTGAGGACTCTTGATTAATAGAAAGTTAGAAAGAACAGTATTAAGAACACTATTTTTAAATTGTAATAATGTTTCACAATATTACTGTTTTTTACTGTATTTTTAATTCAATAAATGCAGCCTTGGTTAGCATAACAGACTCTTTTCAAAAACATAAAAAAATCTTAACTTAAATTTTAACTTAACTTAAAGCTGCAGTCCGTAGCTTTTCCTCTTTGTCGCCATCTCTCTGTTCGAAATCTGTAACTGCAGTGATTCGCAGAATTATCAACTTTACGTGGGTTGTAAATCGGCATGAAACAGCGCGGATGAACACAGTGTTTTGAGGCGAGTGGTGCTGTCAGTCACCGCGCTGTGTGGATACTGTTATACAGAATCACAGATTCACTTTTTGAAAGTTTGACCAACATAAGAATTTTCATAAGAAAATGTCTTCTGAACAAGTAAGTAACATCCATTTTTGTTCTGACCAACTAAGGGGGAAAAAGCATTCGACATGATAAGCTTCGTTAGATTTAATCAACGCGATTTACAGCAACCGTGCAAATTATAGCCTACTTTGTTCTCAAATTGTCCATGTTAACAACATCACATCAGCATTGCGTGACTAATGTTAAATTTAATGTGTTTTATGGTTACCTGTGTAGTTCAGAATTCATATTCTCCATAATAGCAAAACGAGAAAGGCACAACAAAGGAAACTCCATAACTGTGTGAATTAAGAAAACGTACTGTTACACGATTGAACTATTGAAATGTCTTAACTTACTTGTTCAGCAGAAAAAAGCCGTCTCTTCTTCCGTTTTGAACCCCTTCAAAACACGGAGTTCACGCACTTTTCAAAAGCCCCGCTGATGTTTAAATCCATTGTGTTCGCATGAGACGGTTTCTTTCTCTTTCTCTAGCCACCTTAAATCCAAAGTACGAAGTCTTTTGGGTTTTATAACTGGTTAATCTCCAGTTGACACTGATGATTGTTGTTTGGATCTTTCTGGATGCCATAAGTTTAATTATGTATTGTAAAGTGCTGCAAGAAAAGCCTATACATCTAAACATCTCGTCACGCGCAGTATAGCCGGCTAGCCGAAACTCCTTCTTTATGTATACGGGTGTGACGTAATGACGCAAAGACATGCTCGAATTTCCCGCGGAAACCCACCAGTACCACTGGAATTAAAATCATTATTACAAGCTAACCGTTTTGAATCTAGCTATGGCAAGCAGATAGTTTTGACCACTGGCAGAATAAGTTTTTTTTAATATAATTATTTTGGATTATTTTTAACTTAAAAAAGTTACGGACTGGAGCTTTAAAGCTGCAGTCCATAACTTTTTTGGGTTAAAAATGATCCAAAATATTTTTTTGCGCAAGTACATAACCAGCCAGTGTTCAAAACTATCTGCTTTCCATAGCTCGATTCAAAACGGTAAGCTTATTATAATGTTTTTAATTCCAGTGGTGCTGGTGGATTTCCGCGGGAAATTCGAGCATGTCTTTGCGTCATTACGTCACATCTGTACACATGTCAAGTCAAGTCAAGTCACCTTTATTTATATAGCGCTTTTTACAATACAGATTGTATCAAAGCGCTTCACAGTGATAACATGAAAACAATATAACAAAAACAATATAACAATATAACAAAGTTTGTTTCTAAAAGAAATTGCGTCAACGTCCACCTTAAGTAAGGCAGATCAATAATATTATTGAATATTAAATGTTAAATGTCCCCAACTAAGCAAGCCAAAATCCAAGGCAACAGTGGCAAGGAACCAAAACTCCATCAGGTGACAGAATGGAGAAAAAAACCTTGGGAGAAACCAGACTCAGTCGGGGGGCCAGTTCTCCTCTGGCCAACGGAAGAACAGTGCATGATTCGGGCAGCATTACAAGTCAGATTGGATCGGAACATTTAGAGTATTTTTTGGAAGTCCAAGTATGCACGCCGGTCTTAAGACGAGTTGTTGAGGATCAGTGCCGTCCACCATAGAGAGTCCATATCGCCCGTGTTGAGTCGTCACTTCATAGGCTTTGTGATTGGAGCATCTGAAGTCTCCGTGAGAGGCTGGATACAAACTGGAGCTGACGAACGCCATTTTCTCGGGACTCGCGTCCCGAGATAACAGCAGAAAAGCAAAGGGAAAATAATTAGCGTAGCTGCTGTTCATAATGATGATTTCCATAACACAGGCGTAAAAGACAAAACATGAAGACAGTGACTCTTGCGTCCCAAAATCACCCCCCTCCGTCCCCCACTCAACTCAGCCCAGCTTACTGACCTCTACGTCCCTCCTGCTGCTGAGACCTAACCACAATCTCACAATCTCTCCGCAACCCAACCATACGCGCCAACCCGTTGACTAAGGCTGTCGAGCCCCACTGGTGCGTGAATAGGCAGTTTCAGTGGACAACGGTTCCGTATGGCATACTACCTACCGCAAAACACAATATCTGCCCAACCACCCGTCATTCACGCAATATACACAGGAACGTAATGACTGCAAATACTATGCAACCTATACAGATAACCTACAGTCTCTTCAAGTTTTATAGTATTAAATGCATTTGATCTGATTCAGCAGTATAATAAAAGGTAAGCATTATGTAAATGCTTGGCTAAAAAGATGCGTCTTTAATCTAGTTTTAAACTGGGACAGCGAGTCAGAGCCTCGAACAATATCAGGAAGGCTATTCCAGAGTTTAGGAGCTAAATGTGAGAACGCCCTCCCTCCTTTAGTGGACTTAGATATCCTAGGAATGACTAGAAGCCTCGAATTTAGTGATCTTAAAGAACGCGATGGATTGTAGGGCGATAGAAGGTCCATTAAATACACAGGAGCTAAACCATTTAGGGCTTTATAGGTCAGTAGTAGTACTTTGTAATTGATACGGAACTTGATAGGTAACCAGTGCAGAGATGATAGAATCGGTGTTATATGATCATATTTTCTTGACCTAGTAAGAACTCTAGCGGCTGCATTTTGCACTAACTGTAGCTTGTTTATTGAGGATGCAGGACAACCGGCTAATAAAGCATTACAGTAATCTAGTCTCGAGGTCATGAATGCATGAACTAACTTTTCTGCATCGGAAACAGATAGCATGTTACGTAATTTAGCAATGTTTCTAAGATGGAAAAAGGCCGTTCTTGTAACATATGAAATATGATTTTCGAAAGACAAGTTGTGGTCTAGTATAACTCCCAGGTCTTTTACCGTAGAGGATAAAGTAACAGGACATCCTTCTATATTAAAGTTGTATTGTAAGTGGTTTTGTGGATAGTTTTTTGGACCAACAAGTAATACCTCAGTTTTATCTGGATTTAGTAGCAGGAAATTATGCGTCATCCAGCATTTTATATCTTTAAGACACTCTGTCAATTTTGATGAGTTAGTGTTTTCATCTGGCAGTGATGAAATATATAATTGAGTGTCATCAGCATAACAGTGGAAATTAATTCCATGTTTTCTTATAATATTACCAAGTGGCAGCATATATATTGAGAATAGCAGAGGGCCTAACACCGATCCTTGCGGCACTCCATAGTCTACTGACGTTATCTTCGATTTTTCCCCATTTAAACAAACAGAATGGTAACGGTCTGATAAATACGATCTGAACCAGCTTAATGCCTGTCCCTGAACACCAGTGTAGTTTTGTAGTCGATCCAAGAGTATTTTATGATCGATAGTGTCAAACGCAGCACTAAGATCGAGTAGAACTAGTATTGAGATACAGCCTTGGTCAGAAGCTAAAAGTAAATCATTTGTAATTTTAACTAGCGCAGTTTCTGTGCTATGATGCGGTCTGAATCCTGACTGAAATTTTTCATATATCTCATTTTCTTGCATGAAAGAGCACAATTGAGCGGACACAGTCTTTTCTAGTATTTTAGACATAAATGGGAGATTTGAAATCGGTCTGTAATTTGCTAAGTTATTTGGATCTAATTGCGGTTTCTTAATGAGAGGTTTTATTACTGCCAGCTTGAAGGTGGTCACATAAAGAAGGTGTCTCGGCTAGTAGGCTATATTGCGTGTGAGGATGTTTGCAGGTGGAGATTTATAGCCTTTTCTCACAGCACTTGATATAATTAAACTTATCAATTTGATGGCGGATCCAGAAAGTTTCAAACAACAATCACCAGTGACAACTGGAGATTCACCCATTGTAAAATGCAAAAGACTTCGGACTTCGGATTGGCTACAGAAAAAAAGAGATTGCAACCGGGCCCATGCGAAAACAAGGATAAACATCGGAAGGGCATTAAATGTAGTCACGCAATGCTGATGTTGTTAACATTAACAATTTGAGAACAAAGTATAATTTGCACGGTTTGACGTGATATGATAAGCAATCGTTAGATTTAATCAGCACAATTTACTGCAATGCTTTTTTCGCCTTAGTTGGTCAGAACAAAAGTGGATGTTACTTACTTGTTCAGATGACATTTTCCAGTGAAAATTCTTATTTTGGCCATACTTCCAAAAAGTAGAATTTGTGATTCCAGATGAGCCGTAGCCTGACTTCGTCATTCTCATATTCTAGTCAGAATGTGAGTCTGATACTGCTCCATAGGGCTTTGATTATGAGGCGTGTCTTAACCGAACCAGGAAAAAAAAAAAACCTGCACTCAATTGTATAGACCTACAACCAATCAGAGCAACGCAGTGAGTGACGTATGTTGAGCTACTACGCATAGTCGTCAACAGAACTCAACTGCACGCAGGCTGGAAGAAGTAATAAAATAATGAGTGTTGATTCTTTTACTTGGTCCTCCATGAGTGCGAACAAAGGAGAAACCACAACGACCACAGGGCTTTCATTGCGTCCCATCTTCTTAGCGACCATCGGAGCCAGCTGATAAATTAAACATTTGCCGAATCCCATAGGAAGGACGGCAAACACATCTTGCCGATCGACAAATGCCTTGATTGCAGTTCTCTGTTCGTCTTTTAAAATTAATGCGCTGTTGATTTCTTTTACAACAGACGCGATAGCGGAATCTATACATCTCAATTCTCCAGCTGCAGTCAACTTTGAGGGAAACCAGTTCAACATTCAAACCAAGTGCTCTTTGATAACGTGATGATTACGTAACTGCAGATCATCTGTCCATCATCGTATAAAGCCCGCCCTGGCAATTTGATTGGCCCGACGATTTCTGAACCGATCATAATTACTCCTCAATGGATCGAGTCCAGACCGAACTTCCCGACCAAAAAATGTTGTGGGCGGGGTTCGGGCTGGCATCCAGGCTATGACAGCCGCACATTCTCCTCAAAACATTGGCACAACCCACGACACACAACCCACGTAAAGTTGATAATTCCACGAATAACTGCAATTGCAGATTTCAAACATAGCAACAAAGAAGAAAAACTACGGACTGCAGCTTTAAATATAACTTAATCTTAAATATCAAATATAACATTATTGACTGGTTTATCTTTGTGGGTTAAATTCCCCTTCTATTCTTGTGCAGAGCTTTTTAAGGTTATTTGTCAAAGTATACTGCTTGATTGTTGAGTGGGCTGTTAGCCAAGCCAAATGAACATGCTTCTCTAAATATGGTTGGAATTTCCAGAGAGAAGAATTTTAGCTCCATTTATGAGCACAGTGCACAAACCATTTATACAGAATGGTTTGTTGAACTGGATGATAAAATAACTTCTACATGAATTAAGTTCACCCAGGGTGATCTAGTTTTTGTTTTTATTCAAGCACACTTTAAAGACCCACAAAAAAGTGTTCTGGAAAAATACATTAATCTTCATGTCCTTGTTGATATGTACAGTAACACCAATGTGGGGCCTTTGACTTCATTGTAGGGTAAGAAATGAAATGTCACTGAAAGTGCAAAAAATGCTCCATTTATTTAATCATTTTAATTTGTAATTAATATAGCACTATATTCTATATAGTTATGGCTGTAGGGTCAGTGACGAGGGTATTGAATGCACATTAATATAAAGTGTGTTTAGAAAACAACAACAAAAACAACAACAAAGAATTCATTGATTACATTAAATCCACAGTAGTGTTATAGCAGAGTTTAGAGAAGTTATCTTGTGCATAATTTACATATAGGCCTACTATAGTATTTGGTGTTGACTTCATTTTAATAATTAGCAGTCTTTATTGTTTAGATTAAGAATTTATTAATTAATTGATTCCATTAAAGCATCTCACATTAACATTTCATATGGTGTACAAGCACACATGCATTCCCTCTCACTGGATACATCTGTTTTTCAGCCTCATAATGTACAAACAGGCATTTGGTTGTAGTTTTTGCTCTGCTAGCTGATGTGTGTCTATGGTCTCATAGTCTGTCTGTCTGCCTCTCTTCAGGAGTGTCTGATACATCTAACTACCCTCTCAGTCCCCGTGTTGTTTTGTTTGGTACGTAGTTTTCTGACTGTCTGTTTGTCCTCCTATTGATGTGTTTGCACATTTACAGCAATTTTCTTTGCATGTTTTGTTATTTCAACACTTTAAATCACCATACAACAAGCATGATACAACAACAACTTGCAAGCAGGCTATATAACGTTTCTGTATGCGTGAAACATATGGATGACGCACTGCTCTTGACTTCCCCTTCCATTTCCAGAATATTTAGATTTTAGTCTGACTTATGCATATCATGACATTTTATAAAGACAAATGATTGTTTTAGTCTGACTAAAATCTAAGTTTTAAAGTGTATGTAAATGTTTGTGCTGTAAATACAGCCAAAGTCATTTGCTCATAACATCCTGTTGTAGATGCAACTCTGTAATTATCTGTACATATTCCCTTTGTTTGCTTTGACAGTTTTTAGAATTTAAGTTAGACACAACAACAATACCTCCTTTCTTGCTTTTCATAGATGCACCATAGACAAACTTCTTTTCAACACTGAAGTTGGTTGTATTATACAGCAAACTATCAAGTTGGAAATCATACAAATAATAATACAAAAAACTTCTCAAGCAATATATAATTTGATATATATATATATATATATATTGTCACGGGGTGAAGAATCACTCAACAAGGCAGGCTTTGTGAAAAGGCCCCGGAGGGTGGATTTATTTACAATCAAACAAAGGCTGGTGAAAGAAGGTAAGCCGGTGCGTGGTGGCTGGTGCTTTAAGTGCTCTTCAGTGTTCAATCCAAACGAAAGTGGGTGTCCAAAACGTGTTCCAAAACGATGGGCTGTCGGTCACTCGCTGCTTTCTGGGGAGAACAGAGAGAAAGGTTAGACCAGCGCTTTCATTCAGTTCGAGACTAGCGTCTGTCTGTTTGCTGAGCATGTGCTGCTTATGTGGCTGTGGGCTGATTGGGAGCAGCTGTGACCGATCAGCCGGCGATGAGGACGTGCAGGTGTTTTGTGTTGGTTGCCAGGGCGACGCTGCTTTCTCTGAGGACGCTCGTCACATTCCCCCCCCCTAAGCGTCGTTCTGGTCCTGTGAACGAATGGAGATAGCAGGGGTGAAGTAAGGGGAGGGTGGGGAATGACCCCTGACAGACCTGCATAAGCTGTCCAGATCCGTGAGAGGCCATGGGCGTTCGCGTTGGCGGCCCCGGCCCGATGTCGTACCTCAAAGTGGAAGTCCTGTAGCGCTAGGAACCAGCGAGTCACCCTGGCGTTGGTGTCCTTGGCACGGGCCATCCATTGTAGGGGTGCGTGGTCTGTGACCAGGGTGAACTTGCGGCCTAGGAGGTAGTACCGGAGCTCCACGACTGCCCACTTGATAGCCAGGGCTTCCTTCTCCACGGCGGCGTACTTCCTCTCGGCCGGGGACAGCTTCCTGCTGATGTAAATGATCGGATGCTCCTCACCTCCCTGAATTTGGGACAGGACGGCTCCCAGTCCTGTGTCGGAGGCATCCGTCTGCAACAGAAAGGGGCAGCTGAAGTCGGGAGCACGGAGTACTGGTGAGGACGTAAGCGCTGCTTTGACCTGGGCGAAGGCCTCCTCGACCGATGGGGTCCAGCATACTTTCTCCGGCTGCCCCTTTCTGGTCAGGTCTGTCAGGGGGGCGGCTAAAGAGGAGAAGTTGGGGATAAAACATCGGTAATAACCCGCCAACCCCAAGAAGGCTCGTACCTGGGTCTTCGTCCGGGGTCTCGGGGCGGAGTGGATGGCCTCTACTTTCTTTTCCTGCGGCCGTATGAGGCCTCGTCCGACTTGGAAGCCCAGGTACTTGGCCTCGGAGAGGGCTAGGTGGCATTTGCGGGGATTGGCGGTGAGTCCAGCCCGCCGGAGCTCTGAGAGCACCCTCCGCAGACGATCCAAATGTTCCTCCCATGCCTCGGAGTGGATCACCACATCATCTATGTAGGCGGCTGCGTATGCCTGGTGGGGCCGCAGGAGGATGTCCATCATTCTCTGGAACGTCGCAGGGGCCCCGTGCAGGCCAAAGGGTAGAGTCCGGTACTGCCAGTGACCACTGGGAGTCGAGAAGGCAGTCTTCGGCTTAGCAGCTTCAGAGAGTGGTACCTGCCAATAGCCCTTGGTGAGGTCTAGGGTGCTGATGTACCGGGCCCTTCCGAGGCGGTCCAGCAGTTCGTCGACCCGAGGCATAGGGTACCCGTCGAATTCGGAGACTTCGTTCAGGTGGCGGAAGTCGTTACAAAAGCGGAGGGTGCCATCCGGCTTTGGGACCATCACAATGGGGCTGGACCACGGACTTCGGGATGGTTCAATTACCCCCAACTTCAGCATTTGTTGGATCTCTTCCTCAATAGCCTGCCGACGAGCTTCCGGAATACGGTAGGGCCGTTGCCTGACGATGACTCCTGGGGGTGTCTTGATGTCGTGCTGGATCACGCTGGTCTGCCCGGGCTGAGAAGAGAAAACATCCTGGAACTGACTGACCAGGTGCTGCAGCTCCACCTTCTGGGCAGCCGAGAGATGAGGGTTGACGTCAACAACCACGGGATCGGTGAGACTCAAGGCAGCCATCTGGTCCCGCGTCCCCACCCACTTCTTCAGGAGGTTGACATGGTAGAGTTGCTCCGCCTGCCGTCGACCAGGTTGCCTCAGCCGGTACGTGACTGGTCCAATCCTTTCCACCACCGTATATGGCCCTTTCCAGGAGGCCAGGAACTTGCAGGCGGAGCTGGGGACCAGGACCATGACGCGGTCTCCGGGCTGGAATTCCCGTGGTTGGGCTGCCCTGTTGTAGTGGCGTTGCTGCGCTTGCTGGGCCTTGCTGAGGTGTTCCCGGACCAATGGCATCACTCGATCGATCCGTTCTCTCATCTGTCGAACATGTTCGATGATAGTGCGATGAGGGCCAGGCTGCTGCTCCCAAGCTTCCCTGGCGACGTCCAGGAGCCCACGTGGTTGACGGCCGAACAGGAGCTCAAAGGGGGTGAAGCCAGTTGAGGCCTGGGGAACTTCGCGGATCCCCAAAGAGCACGTAGGGGATCATAAGGTCCCAATCCCGCTTATCCTCCGCCGTCACTCGTCTAAGCATCTGCTTGAGGGTCTGGTTGAATCTCTCCACAAGTCCGTCCGTCTGAGGGTGGTAGACTGTGGTCCTCAACTGCTTCACCCGTAGCAGCCTGCAGAGATCCGCCATCAGCCGGGACATGAACGGGGTCCCCTGGTCAGTCAGGATCTCCGAGGGGAGGCCGACCCGGCTGGCCATCAGAAACAGCTCCTGGGCAATGGACTTCGCGGTGGCCTTACGCAGGGGAACTGCTTCTGGGTACCGGGTGGCATAGTCGACGATTACCAGGATGTGTTCGTGTCCCCGGGCAGACTTTGGCAACGGCCCCACTATGTCCATTCCAATCCGCTCGAAGGGCACTTCGATGATCGGCAACGGGATGAGCGGGCTGGGGGGTGGGGTCCTGGGCGACGTGACCTGGCAGGCCGGGCAGGCTTGGCAGAACCGCTTCACTTCGGCCTCTAGGCCCGGCCAGAGGAAGCGGTCACGGATGCGCTGAGTGGTGTTGGCTGCCCCGAGGTGACCTGCCATGGGATGGGAATGTGCCAGCTCCAGGATGGTTTCGGTCTTAGCTCGGGGTACAACCAGCAATTTCTTCTCCTCCCCCCTCCGCTGAGCGACACAGTACAACAGGCCATTCTCAACGACAAAATGCGGGAGAGGATGGGGCCGTGGGAGGACGTCTTTTCCATCAACGACTCGCACCTGAGCCCAACAATGCTTGAGCCGATCGTCCTCCCGCTGTTCCTTAGCAAAGGAGCCACCTCCAGCAGCCTGTTGATATACATCATAAAACAGATTAGTCATCTGGGAGGGGGACTCACCATCTCTCCCGCTGTCGGAGGCGAGCAGGGCCGGTCGGCGGCGGGGTCCACGAGGCCGTCTCCGTCTTTGACGGTTCCCCTCTGGGCTGGCAGGCTGAGTAGCGGCGGTGAGCAGTCTGTCGAAGCCGGGCCAATCCCTCCCAAGCAGTACGGCTACCGGCAGGTCCTTCACCAGGCCAGCCTCCACCGGCCAGGTGCCTTGGGGTGACGAGATAGTGATTCTACGGGACGGTACTTGGCGAGTGTCTCCGTGCACGCAGGTAATCGGCAGGAAGTTCTTCTGGCCGCTTCGGGGGGCGCACAACCGCGACTGGATTAGGGTGACCGCACTGCCTGAGTCCAGCAGGGCCCGGAAACGTTTCCCTTCCACCATCACATCTGCTTCGGGGGCTCCCGATGGTACATGCTGGTGGACGATGCAACCTGCCAACCACGCTCGCGGGGGTGACGGTGGTTCAGCGCTGGGCATGGGCTCATCTCGCGGTGGGGGAACCGTCGGCCTGCTGACTGGTCGTGGGGTCCCTTCGAGCGGGCGTCGCTCCTGGACCACCCTCCGGGGAAATGGCGGCGCTCGGTCCCCAGCCTCGCGGTGATGGATGGCATCCGCCAGTTCGATCGCCTCCACGAGTTCCAGGGTGTTGGTAGGATTCCTCATCCCAACCGCTTGTCGATGTGCGCGGGGTAGAGCGCGGAGGAGGCGATCGACCACCACTCGTTCCGCTACCTGAGCTGCGGTGGGGTTCCCTTCCAAGAGCCAGTGATGAGCAATGCGGCTGAGCTCGGCTGCTTGGGCACGGGCTGGCAAGCGGGGCTTGAACTCCCATTCCTGAAACTGCTGGGCGGCGCAGATGGATGAGAGGCCGAGCCTAGCCAAAATTTCCCGCTTGACTTCGTTATAGTCTTCGGCGGCCGCACGGGGAAGTGAGAAATAAGCCCGTTGGGCTTCTCCGGTGAGGAGGGGTGCCAGCGCACGTGCCCACTCGTCCTCGGGCCATGCCTCATACTGAGCGGTGGTTTCAAAGACCTGCAGGAAGGCTTCCACGTCATCATCAGCGGTCATCTTCGACAGCAGGCGGGTTGCTTGGGCGCGAGGATCAGGTAGCAGAACACGCTGGGCGGCGGAGGCACGAAC